TAGTCCAAAATAAAAGTTTTGTTGGTATCTTATAAAAAATTATAAATAATAAATTAAAACTGATTGACAGATTTTAAAAAAAATGCAGTGATTCTGTTCAAATCATTGGAGTTTGGAAACAAGAACACCCTAAACGTTTATTTATTAGTTTTATTTATTAGTAGTTTAATTATTACTATCTATAATTAGTTGAGAATTAGAACGACAAACTATAATTCTTAATTAATACTCTGTTTAAGTTTGAAAAGCATAACTTAGTAATTTTCAACCACCCCCAAAATGAGGATGTTGTAAACTTTATATGATCATAATTTTCACAAAACAAATGATTATTCGATGAAAGGTATTATTTTATTTAATTTTTTTTATTATGTTTAATAAATTTATATAGTAGAAAGTTAAACTTTGTGCAGATTAGACAGTTTAGAACTTTATTCTTCTACATCGAATTCTATATTTCTTCTACATCTATATCGAATTCTATATTTCTTCTACATCGACATCGAATTCTATATTTTTGTCAACGTTGTCAGCATTTAAATATAATTCAACGTGGTCAGTTGATTGTAAATCAATAACGATTCGTGTCATCTCTTGGTAACGACACTAAGTACTTTGATTAAATTAAAGTCACGTTTATTAAATGCTGTTTTTTGTGCTACTAACAATATTTTTTTGTCAGGTTCCGTTTATGAATCAAATGATATAGTTGCTATCATTCGGCCTTTGGTGCGAGAACTCGATTCATCAAACTCTTTTGTTGGTTGACCTCTTTTTGCTGCTTCATTTATTAAATTCTCTTGATTGCATGATGATTCAACTAAATCATTTGTTTTAAAAACTGAATTAAGCCAAACTTGGTTTCTACTATCAAGTATTTCTTTTTTTCGACATGATCCTTGCCATAGTGCAATATACTTTGCAAGAGTAAGTTTTAATCCTTTTCTTAGTAAATTTATTTTGTCTTCTTTGATCTGAATCCTTGTAATAACGTATTCAAACCCACTGTCTACATTATCAAAAGTCTTTTTTAAAACCTGAAAACACTGTATAATTTGACTTAAATTGATTTGCTCCATTATCTTAGTTCACAACAATTAACTAAAAATGTAAAAAGAAACACCATCAAAAATGCATTTTAGACATTTTTTTTTTTAATTAATTATTTATTTTAAAACCATAAATACATGAAATTAAAATTAAAAAATAATTTTTTCCATCTCGAGATCAAGACAAAAACAAACTTTTTTTTTTTTTTTTGGTTTTTTACGTCTTTAAAGTAGTTGTTTTTTAGTAAATAATATGAAAAAAGAAATTGTTTTTACTTAAAGAAATATTTGTTTAAAAAAACAAGACTTTTTCAAAATTATTTACCGCTCAAGATCGCAGATAATCGCACCCACACTTGGTTTAGTAGATAGGCTTAATTCAAAAATATTAACATATGGAAAAGACACAAATTGGAAAAAAAATTAAATCAAAGTGAATATTTTGTACTTTTGTGATGAATTTTTTTCATGAAACTTTTTTTCTTTTTATTTTTACCAGTCTATAATATAGACTGGTAAAACTGGAACGAAAAATCGACCAAAAAAAAAAAAAAAAGGGGACGAAAAATCGACCATTTGCGGTGATCGGACTTCTGCGGTGATGGTCGGTTATTAGCTAACCGCAGCGGTCGGTGATTCCGGTGCGCGGTGATGCATTGGTGGTGACAGCGGTTAGATGTGTGCGATGATTGACGGTAATTGTTTTCAGTTTTCAGACCATCACCGCAGAATTCCGATCACCGCAAACGGTCGATTTTTTGTTCCCTAATCTATATTATAACCTTTCTAATGTTGTATATATTTTCAATTTTTCAATGATCTATATATTAAAATAATAGTTAATAAAACCCAATATCTTGAGAGTTTTGATTTATTTTTTATAAACCTAACTTCAAGAAGCCACTACCATTAAGCCTGTCACGTTTAGAATTTTATAATATGGAAAAATCTTAGTGATGGTGTTAGTAACAAAACCCGCTATCAGACAAAATGGTAGAAGTAAGTAACTTTTTTGATTTTTACCCATGTGATTTCCCACTGTGCACTGTATTAACCATAAACATTTTTTTTTTACTTAATTACAAAACTTCTTTTTTTATCTAACAATGCTTCGACTTTGCAGCTTTAACTTAAATCAATGACCAATATTATGTGCCAGACTTTAGGCTAGAGAGACTTTAGGGGTTTATGAAAGCCATGAGCTATTACAGCTATTAAGAGATAATAAAATCCAAAAAATCTACTTTTTTTGGCCAACCCTGAGCATTATGTAGATTTAATTTTACCTCTTTAATACAATTATTAAAAAAATAAAAGGTATATGCAAAACTGCTCGACGCTAATTTTAATTCAAGTATAACTTTATTATAATTTAAAGACATGCTAAACCATAACAATTTAATTCTAATTATATAAGTTAACGTCTGTTAGCGATTTTTGTTTTATGTACTATCAAATGGATTTTTCATGTGAACGCTGCAAGAAACATTTTGTAAAACATTTTTTTATAGTAAGAGTTGTTCCGGAATAATGTTCCGCCAAACGTCGCTAGTGTGAACATGGTATTAGCAAAAATGAGAAAACAAAGTCTAAAACCTGTTTTTTGTGGTCTCGTAAAAGGGAATGCCTTAAATACACCTCCACCTTTTTCAGGGTCAGTGTATAAGGGATAGGATGTGTAGTTATTATTGAGATAAATAAGAAAAAGGAATTTTTTTTTTAATTGTGCGTACATACTTTTTTATTAAACCCTCCCCCCCCCCTTCCCCATCAGTTTGGTGTGTTATTTAAACACCCCCCTCTCAATCATTTCCTCCCAATGAGCGTCATCAGAATATGATATAATAAAGTTTCAGACATTTCTTTGCCTATTTTTATTTCAGAAACTAACTTCCATATTCAAATTCGATTTTTCCCAATAAGCTTAAATTCTTTTTTTAATTAAGATATAGGGTGTAAAGCAAGTAGCGAACTTGAGTGAAATTCGACCTGAACTTTGAAGTCTGATTTTGTCAATGCGTAAACGAAACAAAAAACTTGAGATCGCGCTTAAGAAAGTCTAACTTAAACTTAAAAGGCGTCGTAATCAGAAAAACAAAAATAGAGTATTTGCGAAGAAAAAACCTTTTAAATAAAGCAATTTAACTATATATTATAAAATAATAAATCCGAGTTTAATACTTTGAAATGTTAACTTTCATAAATTAATTTAACGACACAGGGGGAGGGGGCAGGGGGTCATTTTCCCTCCACTTTTTTTTTAGAGGACCATTTTTTTTTTTATGAAATAATTTTTTAAAGAAATTCTTTTTAAGATATAGAGGATTTTTTTCACAAACTGATGATTGTACTCCCTCCCCCCAACCACTTTAGAAGTATTGAAAAAATAACTTTTACTCATTTGTAACTTATTTTTATTAACTTATTTTTATTAAAACTTGTTAATTTGATAAAAAAACACTGGTTTTTAATGAACATGCTTGTGTTACCTTTTATTTATCCCAAAGCTCTTGCTACGACGCAATAGCTACTCAACAATCAAATGGCATATATGCAATGCGGTTATGAACTCCAACAAGGCTGCAATCAAACACTAATTACGTTGGGATTTAGCAGAAAATTTATTTAAAATTATAACAACAGTTTTGTTTAAAATTTAACTTGTTATAACTATAATTATGATCACATAATTGTAGTGATAATGTAAACAAGATACGATAATAAATATAAATATAAATAATATAAAGAATACAAAAAAAGATAAATAATTTCTCACCTGAAATGAACCAATATCATAAAACCAAATTGCAATTGACAGTTGTTGTACTGATGAAAGGTATTTATATAGTTTAAAAATAATGATTCATTTGTAATTCATACATGAAATGAGTAAATCTTTCAAGACTGGTCTGTAACGAACTTCAAAAAACGACTTGACACCTGATTTTTCAAGAAAAAATTCATTTTAAGTTTGATTCTTGAACTACACATAAGACAGACTTCAGATTTCTTGAAATTTTAAATTATACTAAATTGAAAGCGAACTTGAAACTTTAGATATTTTGAAATTTCGAGTTTGCTTTTTTGCATTCGGGAAAGATTTTTACTTTCATAATATAAAATATAAAAACGTAAATAAATATAAAACGTAAATAAATATAAATTCATAAATAAAAAAATGTGAAGAAAAATGATTTTTATGGCATATACCATACAAACTGTATAACAAAAGTAATATATTTATCTAAATAAAATATTATATGAGACCGAAAAAATACTATTTTGTTTAAATAAATCATATTTTGTTTATATTCAACTTATATATTATATTCAAAGTTTGAATATAATATATAAATATATAAAATTGAAACTAGTTGTTTGAGTTTTAACATTCAAAGCCTTATTTAAATGTTAACTGTATGCAATCTTCAGATTATAATTTAAAACTATTCAAATAATTCTCATCGTTTTGTAATTTTTAATTCATATTCAGTTTTAATATCATACTGAGTTCTTGACTTCCATTCAAGGCAAAGTTTCTATGCTATTATCTATCACCAATCACTATGTTTTAACAATAATATAAACTTATTTGTTGATAACTCAACAATTTTTTAATAAACATTCAGATGCAACATTCCTATTTTATAATAATTTTTTATAATGCAATGTGTTTTTTTATAATGTAATGTGTTTTTTGATAATGTGTTTGTTAGAATAAATAATAATTAAATAAGCTTTTGATTTTTGTAATATTTATTTTAATTTATATTTAGATAAACTTAATGGACACTGACAAACACAACATTTTCATAGTGGTGCTGCAAAAAGGAAAGCATCAAAGGCTCGTTCTGAATGAGAGGCTCGAGAATCGAACAAAACACCTCGAGTGACTAAATTCTTAATGCTCAATCAGCTACAGAAAATGAGACACCAGCTTCATTATGCAGTATGTCTATTGCTTACCAAAATCCCGAGGACAGTCAAGGCAGTCAAGTGAATATACAAGCTGATGACATCAGCAGGTGGCCAGAAAAAATTACAGCAGAATTCATCAATTACTGGGCTGGCATAGGCCCTATGGATCTCTACCACAGTGATGTCAAGTCTTTGAATGATAAATCAGCAATCCAGAAAGCTGCAAACAGCGTCAGTCGGAAATGTACACCAAAAAAGTTTCAGTGATCGAATCGCAATGGAGAAGTTGTAAAACGTTCTTGGCTTTTCTCTGGCAAATGGTCGAGTTTACTGTTTTTTCTGTAAGTTAATGGGTACTGTGAGATCCCAATTTACACACGATGGTTTCTGTGATTAAAAACATGCTACGGATTGACTTAGTTCACATGAGCAATCCAAAGATCATATTGAAGCTGTTTGGAAAACAGCAAGTCGTGCTAAAAAAGCTGGACGTATAGACTCTAAATTTGCCCATGAAATGGATCGACATGAGCATTATTGGCGTAGTCTGCTTAAACGACTAATCAGTGTGTTTAAGTTTGTATGTGAACGAGGCCTCGCTCTTCGTGGAGATAATGAAACGATTGGATCGCCTAACAATGGCAATTATTTAGGGTTACTAGAACTTTTGGCAGAGTACGATGATTTCTTAGGACAACACATCAAAAATCTTGCCAGTCGTGGTTCTGGTCATACAAGCTATTTGTTATCTACTGTCTGTGAAGAACTTGTTAGACTAATGGGCAATCGAGTTTTAAACGAAATCATTTCACGCTTAAAATTGTCGAAATACTATTCAGTGTCTCTTGATTCTACTGCTGATGAAGGTCATATTGATCAACTAACTCTAATATTCAGATATATGGAACAAGATAGACCAGTTGAAAGATTCGTGAAATTTTTGCCGAATCAAGGGGACAAAGCGGAAGAAATGTTTCGTGGATTAATGAGTTTCCTTAAAGACATTGACATTTAGAATTATCGTGGGCAATTTTACGATAACGCTTCAGCTATGAGTGGGAGATACAATGGCCTTCAAGCTAAAGTGTCAGCTGTAAATCATCACGCAACTTGGATACCCTGTGCTGGACATTCACTAAATCTGGTTGGAGTAGCACCGAGCGAATGCTGTGCTTCAGCAGTAACATTTTTTGACTTTCTCGAGACACTATATGTGTTCTTCACAACTTTTACAAATCGTCATGCACTTCTCACAGACTTTCTAAAAAGTGTGGAATCTGGTTGGGTACATGTACCGAAAAGGGTGTCTACAACACGATGGTCCTGCCGTTCCGATGCAGTAAAAGCTCTCATCGTTGGATATCATCCTATCCACAATACACTTCAAAATATATTGGAGAATGAAAATGAAACACCTAAATTCCTTTGAATCCTATTTCCTTCAAAATATATCGGAGAATGAAAATGAAACACCTATGTTCCGAGGCAAATGGTTTTCATGGCAAGATGTGCAAACTGGAAATTGGTATCTATGCTGCATTTTGGCACGTCATTCTTGCTCAAAGTAATGCTACAAGTCATATACTACAAGATCTTAAACTCGATCTGAACACAGCCATATCATTGAAGTCACTGCAGTGTTTTGTGAGTAAAAAACGAGAGCATTTTTGTGATTATGAGGAAAAAAGGAAGAAGATGTCTGGAACTGATGAATATGTAAAAGCAAGCGAGCGTTATCAAAGCGTGCGGCTCACTCTATTAGATTATGGAGGATCAGGAGAAGCTAGACTTACTGCATCTGAAAAATTTTGGGTTCAGAACTTTCTCCTTGTAATAGATCAATATCAAACATCTTTGAATCAACGCTTAAAAGCATATAAGAATACCTGTTCTCTTTTCGGTTTTTTGAGAAAACTGGATTCACTGGAGTGCAATGAGATAGAAGCAGCTGCAAGAAAATTGGTTGATAAATATAAAGATGATTTAGATTCAGCACTTTGTGGTGAGCTTGTGCAGTTTACAGCTTTCTTCACTGAATTTCTTCTTGAAGAAGATGATAACATTGGGAGGGAACATTTTCTTTACAAACTATTGCTGAAGAAGAAAATTGTGAATACATTTCCAAATGTTGAGATAATGTTACGAATGTACTTGGTTCTAATGATCACAAACTGTTCTTGTGAACGTTCATTCAGTAAAATAAAGTTTATAAAGAATTGACTCCGCACTACATTGACTCATGACAGGCTTAGTTTTTTAACTTTGATGAGTACTGAATATGATATTCTCAGAGAGATTGACTTTAACCAATTGATTCAAAACTTCGCAAAGATGAAGTCTCGTAAAGTGCCGGGCTTGTAGTTATAATTTCAATTCATCTGTTTCCCTTCTACAGATATCTTCGACTTTGCGTGTTAATTGTGTTTAACTATTTGCTTGTTTATTAGTGAAATAGAAATATTTCATCTATCTATTGTGCATGTACAGTTCTTAATATAATCACATTACTATGAATAAGAATGCTACTTTTTTGTGTTTTTAAGGTAGAGTGTTTTATTTAACTATATGGTTCAACTATGTTAATTAAAGATGCTTAAGAAATGCGATATAGAGTTATCTTTTTTGTGTTTTTAAGGTAAAGTGGGCCTCCATAAAATATATGCCCAGGGCACATATCTAGTTGGTAGCAAATAATAATTGCAACAGTGGACTAAAAATTTGAAATCTCTTCTATCCATTTGGCGTATTCAAGGGCAAGAGAGGATGCTGAACCACCATCTTAACCACCAAAAAATGCATATTTCTGCTAGAGAAGAAATATGTATTTTTTTCTATAGAGAAGAGTGTCTTTTTTGTAAAATTTGTAATTTTTATATAAAAAAAAAAAAAAGTTATATTAATCTTTTTTAGACCACCGTCAAATTTAAGAAGTGTATTTTTATGTTATGGTGGATATAGAGGTGATGGTTTAACACACAATATTGGCAAAAATGTTTCATTTATATAAATATTATAAAAGTTGTGCTCTCATTTGTATTATGATACGGTACAGAGTAAATATTTGATCTTTATCTAAGTTAGACTATATTGCTCAAATTATAAATGCTGTATTTATTTTTTCATTCCAACCAACCACCTCCCCCCAACCCCACCCCCAATCACCCCTCACTCACACGCACCTACCATTAGTCGTTCCACCACAAAAAGTTTTGCAATGAAATATGACAAAGTTATAGCAAATGTGTGAACATAAATGAAAGAATAAGATATAAAAAATAATGGGTTAGCATTTTTTCAAAATGTATTGAATGCTTAGAATACAACTATGTTTTATTTGCCAATAAAATCATTTTTATTATTTCATTATCAAAACTTGGTTATCAAAAGACACATAATAAAAAAGTTTAATATTTTTAGTTTTCAAAAAGTTTATTGTGATTTGAAACTCTCAAAATCTATTGTGATTTGAAAATAAGACAAGCAACAAAATAAAACTTGCCTAAAAACTTTAGAACAATTTTTGGTTCCGTAAAACATAATTTTTCGCTTACCTACCTTGTGTTTAAAACTGCCATTTTAAACCACAAACTGTTTTGATAACTTTGTACAATCCCTACATAGTAAGGTCTTTTTACATCCTTCTAATCCTGCTGTTTGACTTTCTTGATAAAATAAGTTTCATTTTAACTGATCGTTTTCTATCAAATTCAAAAACATTTGCAAATAACCACTTTCCATAATAACCTTATTGTTTGTTTTGCACTTTCAGCGAAGGCCGAAGGTATGTTTTTGACATAAAAGTTCAAAAAAAAAACTGATAACGGCCTGTGTTTTATTTTTGTAAATGTCGAAACCTAAAAACGTTAGTCGTAATAGGCAAAAACTTATTAAGTCTGGTGAATTATAATACTAATAATAATAATAATAATAATAATAATAATAATGATAATAATAATAGCAATAATAATAATAATGATAATAATAATAATAATAATAACTAGCAAAAAGCAACCCGTAATACGGGTTTTGGTCGGTCTGCTACATAATTAATTTATAGTGGCTGTTTTACAAAATTTAATGTTGCAAAACCTTAACTAATACCCTTTTAGAAAATCGCCTTCAGCTTGAAAAAATTAATCCATCTGTAAAATTAACATAAAAAGTATGAGGAGGTAAAATAATTTACCAACTACTACTAAACAATTACTACTTAACATTATTTAAGTAATTTACAAATGGCATAGGTCATAACAGTGAAAGGCAGAACCATTTTCATCGACCTTCCTAAGTTTAACACAATACGTTTTTAGTTACTGACACAAAATAATAACACTTGGTCATGCTTTAAATTGACGAAAGTGTCAACTAAATCCTTGTAATAATTTTTATAATACGAACCATTAAGATTAAAATGAAGTTAACTTATATTATACAGGAGTTATCCCCTTGATTAATTATTCTTTAGAAAAGAAAATTGTTAACTTTAAAATGTTAAATGCACACATTTAAATAAATTTATAAAAAATAACAAAGTTTATTATAAATAACTACGCAACTGAGTACAAATACCTTTCAAACAAAAAAAAATTAAATTTACGATCAAACATGGGTATAACATTTTTTTTAATGCATAAATGCATCATATGACAAACCTAAAATAAAAATTATAAGAGATAAGTAGACATAAAAATTTGTAAACCAAGCTGACCCGACCCGAGTCTTGTTAAGTCTGTTCAACACAGACCATTTCTATATTATTTTTTTGGCCTCTTTATTTTATTAATTTTAAGTAAACGGTAATTTGCCACCATTTACTAAAAATTCCTATTGTTACTCGAAATTTAATTTTCCTAAATATTTTGACTCTAATAAAGAGGTTCCTTCCCTCTTTTTGCTTTAATGGTGGCCAGGTGAATAAAATAAAATATTAAAATGTAAAACAATGATCTACTTATATAAGAATGTTTTCTTTCTTTCCTCAAAAGTATTGCAAATACAGACTAAGCTAACTAATTAGTTAAACACATAAAAAAAACTTAAGTAACTCGATATTAAATGCGCAAAACTACAATATTCTCCATGTTTTTAAAGGTTTTTAGTTACGACCCCCTATTTACAAAGATCCCTTTAAAATACGTACAACAAATTATTAGGCATAAAATAGATAAAATCTAAAATTGACTAATAGCATATATTTATATCTTTTTAACTAACAAAAATTTACAATAAAAAGAAATCAGGTTATTTTATTTTATAAATCTTATAAATGCGTCATAACGTAATTCTAAAATAAAAAAGTAATGAAATTATGATATCATAATTACAAAGAAAACAAAAAAACAAAAACCACCACACAATTACCAAAAATCGTAACCTATTTTGAAATTGCAGTTAAAGATTTATCGAAAATGTAACTATAAAACCTGTTTCGAAGTTCCAAAGCAATAATAAAAGTACCTAAGCAATACTAAAAAAAAAAATCAAACTAAGATATAAATTGTTGTTTTGGCTTTTATAATTTAAACATATATACAACTATAAACAAATATGACTTTATGTAACACGTATAAACACATTTTACAACTATTGAATGATAGATATTTACCAAAAACAATGAAAAAAATAAATAAATAATGATAAAGTTACACATACAAAATGTGCTCACAACCTTTAACAATAAATTTTCGAAATGAAAATCTAAAGACTATAAATTAAGAACATTAAAAAATATAACAATATTTGTTACATTTTTTAACCTACTATACCTTGAATAAGATGTTTATCAATTTTGAAAAACAAACTATTAAATGCTATAGTTCTTGAAAATGCAGCATATAGTTGACCATGAGAGAAACACGGTTTTGAAATATTTCTTTTGTCTATATGTTTAATTTCGCGTTACGTAATATATAGACGATCCCTAAGAGAAAATACTTGAGACTAAAAAGATTTTATTTATTACAATATTTGAACAACCAAGGGACAATTTAAAGAATTATATCTTTAAATAGTAAATTATCAATCGCAGTATTAAAAAATACGCAAGAGCTTAGTAATTACAGAGTTTAATAAATTCTCTATACTAATATTATTTAAGTCTCATCTAAGTGAGAGAGAGGAAGTGTTTTAAAAACAGCATGTTAGAAAAAGTAAAAAAGTCATGCAATAAATAACAGTAACTGGTTTTATTATGCTACCAATAAACAAAATTATTTTTACCTTGACTAAAAATTAATTTCCAGCATTTCTTGATCAAGTTCCAGCTTCTCTCTAACTGTTGACAAATGATTAATATTGTAAATTTCACATCATATTAAATTTACAAAATTAAAACCATGTTTCAACAGTAAGCAAAATAATCAAGTGATGACAAAGACAACTAAAAAAAAATGAACACAATTATGTTTAAGATAACAAAAAAAAAAAAAAAAAAAAATCATTTAAAATTGAAGCTGTTATTATTTGTTACTATAAAAATAATAAAATAATAGTAAAATTCATACTTTGCTTTATTTGCAAATTTTTTCTATTCTTAATTTTTTCTTTGAGATAATATTCATATAGATTCAGAGAAATATAAAATATTTTGATATATAGGCACATTTATGTATATAAACTAACCTGTCAAAAATTAGTCAGTTTTCCGTGTTAAATACATAAATATAAAAAGAAGTTGGCAATGCACAGTATCATTAAAATATAAAATTAAACAAAACATTAAACTTACTCAAATCAGTAACAGTTCGACTGTCTGAATATTTTTATTATTAACCCTTCTATTTAAAAAAAGAAACAAATGATTTGAATTGACTAAAAAGCACTTTAGCTCTTTCCAATTGCACTAAAAAATAAAATAAATCTTGCTTTGCTAAGTTGCCTAGTTCTAGAATCTGAAAACAAATAAGTAAAAAACCAAGAACAAACAAACATTTATTTACTAAAACTACTCTATTTAAACAAATTAAATTAAACAGAGAACAACATTGATACTTCTTAAAAGCTGAAAAACTTTTTATCTCAAATTTGCATGTAGACCTTGCTTATAAAACCACTTGAATAAGAAAAGCATCACAAAAGCCTAGAAGCTACTTAAAAATGATATATGCAACAATGAACTTTAAATGTTGATTGGAGTAGATTTTTTTTAAAAATTCAAAATGATTTGTTCTTCTATAGCAAATAAATACACCATAAATCTGAAGTTAAAAATGTAACAAAGAAAAACATATGTGAATTGAAAATTAATGTACCTGATAGAGATAAGCTGTGGTGATACCTGAGTAGTAGTTGCTAAATATTATTTTTTTATGATAAATAAATTGTATTTATAGCGAAATGAATTTCAGTCAATAAATAAAAGCAGTGAGTTCTAATAATGAAACTACTTATTAATCATTTTTAACAGCTGACACCAACGTAAAGATAAACCAAAGGTAACAACATTACGCAAAAAATTATTAAAGATAAAGCAATCTGTTTTCACAATAGTTATATTAAAGGCTAGGCAACACTTAGACCTAAAGCAGTAACATCGCTTGACTGGTAAGGTTGATAAATCTTGCTCTACACGTTTGCCAAGTCACTTCACTTTGAAATCATGGAAACAACATTATATAAACATATATACTAATTATAAAACAATATATTTTTTTAATGTTACTTAGCATATAAAAACACCCCATTTAACAATCTTGCAGAAATTAGATATAATACATTTCATACTATTATAAAAATACATTTATAAAATAACTATAACATATATCACCACATACACGTATTTATCAAAAAAATATTAACTTTGATCATAATATACATGCAAACATATATGCAAACTTTTAACAACTATAAAACAACATTTATTAGCATCAATTATTTTAAATGTACAAAGAATGCAGACTATAATGCACGACATTGTTAATAAAAATGAAGTTATGTCAGTCAGTATATATTTATCTAAAGTAATGAAAAAGAATAAACCATTTAAAAACAAAATTAAAAATTTCTAATGAGTATATATTTAGATACCTTAAAATGAAGCATAACACAACATTCTTTTGACAAATTCCAGAGCAATTTTTCTATTCCATATCATTTTTCCTTAGAGAAAATATACATATAGATTTAAAATATAAAATAGACTGAAATAAACGCAAACTTATGTATATAAACTTACATGACCACAAATAACAGTCTTATTTTATTTAACATTTCATATTAAATACATAAATAAAATTTTATTCTCATTATTCTTTCTATATAAAAAAATCTTAGCCTATGTATGAGAAAATGAAGTAAACTTACTAAAAAAGCGATCATTTCGTCTTAACTGCTCTAAAAATTAAAGCAAATACTTGCTTAAAATGTTTTAAAAAGACTAATGACAGAACAGAATCAGTTTTCTTAAAAAAGAAACATTGTGCTAATAAAACTATTTTACCAGTCAATTTAGTTCTAACTTCTTCTAAAAAATGAAAAATAAATACATAATTAGATACCTTAAAATGAAGCATAACACAAAATTCTTTTAAGTCAAAAAAATTCTCAATAACTTTTGCTAAGAGAAAATATACATATAGTATAGATATAGAGAAATATAAAATAGACTAAAATAAACGCAAACTTATGTATATAAGCTTACATGAACACAAATAACAGTCTAATTTTATTTAACTTTTCATATTAAATACATATATAAAACTTTATTTTATAATTCTTTTTGCAAAAAACAATCTTTATCTATAAATAAGAAAACGAATTGGACTTACTAAAAAAACCATCAGCTTCTCCTAACTGCTCTAAAAAATAAAACAATACTTGCTTAAAATGTTCTAAAAAGACTAATGACAAAATGAAACAGTTTACTAAAAAAGAAACATTTTACTAAAAAAACTATTTTACCAAACTATTTTACCAAACATTTTAGTTCTAACTTCTTCTAAAAAATAAAAACAGGCTATAAAAATGAGAAAAAAAAATAAGCAACAACAAACTAACAATTATTTAAATTTTTATTTTAAAAAATAAACAACATCAATTCTTTTTGAAAATAAGTGCATCAGCTCCGATTTGGTTGCTGATTATACTCGTAAGACCGCGTGGAACATATAACTGCGCTTAGAAAAGTTTAAAAACTAAGAAATAGCGTATTGCAGAACCGTAATTAACAAAATGAACAATAGGCGTAACAATGCGTAATTAACAAAATGAACAACAGGCGTAACAATGCGCACTAATAACATTCATTCGGCTATTAATATTTAGATTATAAACTTTTGCAAGATAAATTTTTTATATTTCGTTTAATTTTAAGTATCCGATTACAAAAAAATAGTAAATGAAAAAAATAATAATAATAACAATTACTAATAAATAAAAAAAAAATAGCATTAGCATTACAATCTACATAACTCCCTGTAAACAAATCCTGTAAAGCTTGTGTAATTGGTGAAAGTGGAGGCAAAGCTACCTTAATATTATGGCAACATATAAAATGTGTTTCATCTGGAAATTTCTTAGCACCACAGTGCTGACAAATTTGATTCATTTCTCCTAAATAATTATAATCTGGAATAGCATTACTTCTCGCTATAGAATACATTCGTCCTTGTCCAACAGCTCTTCTTTCATTTTGGCGACGATTAACATTATCTCGATAGAGCCTATTTCTTTCATTTTGGCGATGATTAACATTATCTTGATCGAGCCTATTTGTTTCATTTTGGTGTCGATTAACATTATCTCGATCGAGCCTATTTCTTTCATTTTGTAAACAATTAATTTCATCTTTCAACACGCCTTATAGCACTTACATCATCTTGTAAATACAAAACTACATCTAGCCTATCATCCATTTCAATGTCATCAATTTCATTAAACATATTTATCAAAGCAACACTAATTATTTCTTTTTTTTTTACTAATCTAAAGTTAACAATAAAATAAAAAAACTTAATAACTAAAAAAATCATACTCGAAAAATTTAAAAAAAAAATTTTCAAAACAAATATATATAAAGAAACCAAACAAATGCAAAATAAAATTAATTTGCCATCATCAAAAGTAATACAGGTTTCTTAAGTTTATTTGATAGAAGTTAAGAAAAACCTGCAACCACATCAGCAAAAACTTATTTTATTTCTAATAAAAAAAAATTGCGACAGCATCATAGTTCATGCGTTGGGAGAAAACATTGAACAAAACACGTAATAAAACTTATTAATGCATTATTAATGCATTATGTACGATAGAAAACAGGTTATTAACGCGGGTTTATAAATTTTTTTCTCCTAATACACTATTATGCTGTCGCAACTCCAAGGATATATATAGTTATATATAGTTATATATATATATATATATATATATATATATATATATATATATATATATATATATATATATATATATATATATATATATATATATATATATATATATATATACAGAACTATTTATTAGTGAAAACATATGAAAACCAAAATTTTTTTTACAATATATATAGTATATATTTGATAAATAAACCTCTACAATTTCTTTGGTTCAACAACTCGATAATGATTAATAACAACTCTGTAAACATGAATTTTCTAATAATTTAAATCTTAATAAATTATAACAATTAACTACTTATTTAAACAAATAATTACTTATTAAATTTTAAAAGATTTTATATATACGTAATGTCTACTTAGAAATACTTAATGTCTATTTATACATTAAAAAGATCTACAATTTTGAAAACCTGAAACTTTAAATCTACCTAAAAAAAAACAGATATATATTGAAAAGTATTTTTATTTCTTTTTAAAAATTTAAAAATGCTTTTTAACTTACTCCCTCCAATATTATTATATAATTTATAGTATATATTGATAAATAAACCTCTACAATTTTCTTGGTTTAACAACTTTTTTAAACTTGGTTTAAAAAAATTTCTAATAAATACATATTTAGATACCTTAAAATGAAGCATAACACAACACTCTTTTGACACACAATACTCTTTTGACAAATTCCAGAAGAAATTTTCTTAATTTTTTTATTCCTTATTATTTTTCCTTAGAGAATATATATATGTAGATATAGAGAAATATAAAATAGACTGAAATAAATCGAAAACCTAATTTATGTATGAGAAAATAACTTGAACTTACTAAAAAAGCGATCAGCTTCTCTAAAACTGCTCTAAAAAATAAAACAAATACTGCTTAAAATGTTTGTTGTACTAAATAAACTATTTTACCAGTCAATTTAGTTAACTTAACTTAATCTAAAAAATGAAAAAAAAATACATATTTAGATACCTTAAAATGAAGGGCGGACTTTAAAACGGCGCACCCCAAACTCGGTAATCAACGAAACTTTTCGTTACGAAAAATCTCGGTAAATATAATGAATATTTTACAGAATGGTAAAACCGCGCCGTTACGACAAGTGCCAAAATGGCTTCCTCGAAAGAAAAAAAACAAATTTTTAAAAACCATTTTTAAAATTTAAAACTCTAATTTAAATATTTACAAATCAAATATAAACATTTACAATTATTAAATTAAAACATTTGCACCTATACTACTGATATTACAATTAAAATAAGTAGAAGTTTTATTAATTTAATTAAGTTTTTTTCAAGACTTTATTATTTTAAGTAAAGTTTTACTATTTCACAAAGGCTTACTTGAGAAATGTTTTGTAATAAGTTAAAAATTGACAAAAATCATTAAAAAAAAGTTAAGTAAAGGTGCTAACATTTTTAAATCTCAAATAAGCAATTACAATATACTATTGCTCTTTAAAATAAATGTTCTGATATTCTTCAGTTTACTTTTCTTTCACTAACTTTTTTTTATTCGAAATCTTCACTATCTTTCAATCTTCAAATCTTCTAATATCTTTATTCTTAATCTTGTCGTTTTAAACTTTTCCTCCATGTATATTCTTCTCATCATCAGTATGTGTATCTTCTCGTAATCAGTGTAACACAGTATATGATCATTTGAGAAAATTTGCTCCAAAAATCCATATAATAAAGCAGAATTAAAATATTAATAAATGTGTAATTTAAAGAGGATACTTATCGTAAATATGACCCAGGAACATATTGAAATTATGCCATAAATCTTTATTTTTAAACTCATAATATTCCCTGTATACTGCCTCATCCAACCTAGACCATTTCATATCACCTTGAGAACCAATAACAAACTTTAATTTACGCTTCATCCTACACCAAAAGGACTCAATGTGGTTTGTTGTTGTCCCTGTTTCAGGGTCAACAAAGTTTGTGGTATGGTTAACAGTTGAATGAATATAGCCTAAGTTGCTTAAATTATTGTACGAAGCCCATTCATCTGATTGTATAGTTGAACCAGGAACAATCCAAGTTTGAATTAAAGGTACTAATGTATTTGCAGTCCGATCCTCTACCCTAGTCAAATACCCTTTTTTAGTTGTTGTATCAAAAGCCCCAAAAATCCAATGCTTTTCAACGTTGTGACCCACATTATACTTGCGTTTGAAAAACAAAGATTCATCAACTTTAACTATGTGTCCTGGACCTCCCAGCCGGTTTACAGCTGCAACATCTAAAACTTTGAATGAGCAGATGTCTCTGAAATACTGATACCACTGAACTGAAGTTGGTTGGCTTATCCCTACTAATTCAGCAGCAGCAGTAACAGGGACCTCTGAAACCCATAACAACATAAGTTGGAGTATATCACTTACACTTAAAGAGGTTGAACATTCAAAAAAACCACTTCGTATAGTCTTCGTCTTCTTACAGCTGCTGCATCGCCAAATGTGTTTATCCTTAAAAAATAAAGCAATTTAATCCTTATATAAAAAAATAATAAATTAAATAAAACTTTAGCTTGTTTACTTTTTAAATAATAATCTGATTAGACTTGTATTAAATGTCATTTAAGTTTTCTGATACGATTAAATAAGATATTTATGAAATAATACCATGAAACACGATATGATTAAATATGATATTTACTTACTTGACACCGCTCAAATCTTTGAATAGTCATTTGTTGACCACAGATACAAGATTTGCGATCAGTGTTTAGTCTGTTTTGATGGAGAAAATTTAATAGTCTTTCTTCTTTAATGCTTTCAATAAATTCTGCCAGAGGAGTCATCTTGCTTGAAGTTTTCGTGTGCTGAAGTGAACTTGAAAACTTGAAAACGTGCTTAAGTCTTATTTAATTTATTAGCCAATAAAAATCTACTTTTAATTTATTAGCCAACAAAAATCGATTTTTAATTTTCGTAACGAAAAGTTTCGTTGATTACCGAGTTTGGGGTGCGCCGTTTTAAAGTCCGCCAAATGAAGAATAACACAACACCCTTTTGACAAATTCCAGAAGAAATTTTTTTTATTTTTCTATTCTCATTTATTTTTGCTAAGAGAAAATACATATAGATATACATATATATATATACATAGCAAACTAACAATTATTTAAATTTTTATTTTAAAAAACAAACAACATTAATTCTTCTTGAAAATAAATGTATCAGCTCCAATTTGATTGCTGATTTTACTCGAATGACCGCATGGAATATATAACTGCGCTTAGAAAATTCTGGAGGCAAAGAAATAGTATATTTTACATAATGCAGAACCGTAATTAACAAAACGAACAATAGGCGTAACAATGCGTAACTATGCGCACTATTAATATTCATAGGCTATTCATTATAGGCGATAATAATAATAATAATAACAATAATAATAATAATAATAAGGGAAAACTTTATAAATAATAAAAATAATAATATTAAGCAAAAAATTATTAAGTCTGGTGAAAAAACAAATGTTTCAAACTACAGACCTATTTCTGTATTACCTTGTTTTTCTAAATTGCTAGAACGCATTATGTACAAATGAATTTATAATCATTTAATATCAAATGATATTCTGTACAATAATCTGTACAATTTGGATTTAAAAAAATCATTCTATGGATCACGCGGTAGTTGAACTTGTAAACCATATATCGGGTGCTTTTAATAAAGAGTATTTTATCTTAGATGTTTTCATTGGTTTGTTCAGAGCATTTGACACTGTCAATCATGAAATCCCTATAAAAAAAAAAAAAGTTTACGGAGTTAACAACTTAAACTTACTTTGGTTCGACTAACAGAAACAATGCATAACCTATGAAACAAATGAAACAAAAAACTTATAAATTGGGGGGTTCCCAATGATGCATACTTGGGAACCCTCCAATTTAAATGTTTTTTTTTTTTTTTTGTGAATATACTTCAGAATATATATGTTAAATATAGGCTTCTATGTCTACTTCAATGTCAAATATAGACTTTTTACTATTAAACAAACAATATAATTAAACCTTTAATAATACTTATAGTATATTATTTAATTAGTAAAACTATTATAAAAGGCCTAATTATAACTTAAGATTAGGTACAAACACTTACAAGTACTATATTTTATACTACAGAAAACCTTTTTTTGTGCAAAGTTACCATTTTGTTCCAATCAAGGCAACTGGTTCCCTAAATTGGAACACTTTGATTCCTTCATAAGAACAGTTTATTTTTTTAAACGAAAAAATCCATTTAAATCAACAAATACATATGTATTTGTAAAAAATACATATGTATTTGTAAAAAATGATTTTTATCTTTACATTGAAAATTTAAACAGTTTAATCAAAACTTATTTTACAGTTAGTATTACCCTGAAAAATTTAAAGTCTACAAACAATAAATTGTAAAAGTCTTTAAAAATAAACCATTTTACATTTAATTAAGGTTATGTTAAACTATATTAAAACAATTTTTTGTTAAATTTTTTGCAGATACGCCACCACCTGTATACATGTCAGAAGATGGTGGTAGTCCGCGTCCTGATTCAAGCTTGATGGATACAGATGGAGCATTATCACCAGATAATAGTTCATTTTATTTTTAAACAATACTAAATATTTTTCTGTAATTTAAATTCAAAAAATTTGAAATTTATATTGTTTAAAGCTTTGAGTTAATAAAATTGAAAAAATAACGGACTAATTTTTTTTTGTTGTTGCGGAAAACAAAGTATTATTATTTCAAGTATTTTCGAAATTATTTTATTATTATTTTTAGTTATTTTCGAAAATATTCCAATTTTTGCTTTAGCTGCTCATCTATATTTATATTTATCTACCCTATATTTATATCTGTTTTTGCAGATTATCATAATTTATTCGTTCCTCTTAAAGAATATAAATGAATAATTTATTTAAAAAAAAATTCTTTATACCAAAAATTGCAATATTTTTAACACACCCAATCATCTTATTTTAGGAAACCGGTTTTCCAAGATGAGCTTTTTTTAATAGATTTTAATAATTTTAAATAAATTAAAAAAATAAAGTTGTATCTTTTAGGACGATACTAAAGTAAAAAGTAATTATCTCGACCATAAAAAAGAAAAAAACATTAATAAATCTCTAAAAAAGTTATCGATACTGTTTTTCGAGAAAATTTTTGCTCTTGACCAAAGTAAAGCTCCGTTAAATAAAAACGCGCTTTTTCTAATAAAAAACCTTATCTCATCTAAAGTGTCTCAGAACGTATCATCTTTAGCCAGGGCCGCCGAAAGCTGTCACGGGCCGCCTGGGACAGTAATCTTGATTGGCGCCCTTATTTATCAAACTTTCCCTATATTAAATACGAAGGACATTTTTCATTTTTTTTAGGTATCTAAATTTTATTTGGCGCCCATTTGGATATTTGCCGCCCGGGACAAACTGTCCCGTTGCCCCTTCTCGGCGGCCCTGTCTTTAGCAACTGCATCAATTACTATCTTTTTTTTTTTCTTTTTTTTTTACAACACAAGTATCCGTATATATTTCAATAAAACAAAATTAGATATTTTTACATATAAGTACAAAACGTACAATTAAAAAATTTTTGTAGCATTAAAATTTTTACAAGACAAAATTATGTTTAGCGCATGCGCGTTGTACAGTGTACAAAATAAGGTAACTAATCGTTGTTTATAATATAAAGTGCTGGCTATTAACCCATGCATTTAAAAAATATATGCAAGTCAGTTGTACCACAGGGCTACTAGGGACTTGCTTGTGGACGTTGTTGAATATATATATATAAAATTATTCTTAAAAAATATTTTTCTTTGTTGTAAGGAAACTCGCAGAAGACTAAAATAGTCTTTTCATCGAGAACCTTTAAAACATAAAATAAACTTTAATGTACTAGTTTAACAAATATATAATATAATATAATTTAATAGTGCTGTACACTTAAAGAGTGATAGGTCCAAACTACGTAGAGTTTGTAACTTTAACAGCTGTAACACACTAACATACAAACATAATAAAAGTTAGTATTTAAAATGTTCATCCAATTTTTTTTTGAACTGGTTGATACTGACTGCGTCTATTGTTTCTTGTTCAAGATTGTTCCAGTCGTTTACTACTCTATTTGTGAAAAAATTATGTCGTTTTATATTTCCTATATATTGCCTTCTCAGTTTGCTATTGTGACCTCTAGTTTTACATCCGTTATCTAGCATTTCGGGTTTTGAGTAAAAATTTATAATATCGTACTCTTTCAAATATTCGAACATTTGTATCAAATCGCCCCTTCTTCTTCTGTTCTCCAACGATAGTAAATCCAACTTCTTTAACCTCTCTTCATAAACGTATCCTTTCAAAATTTTAATTCTAGAAGCTCTTTGTTGGACAAACTCTAGTTTATCTTTATCATACTGACGATAAGGATTCCAGATAGGAGCTGCGTATTCCAAATGTGAACGTACTAAGGCTATAAACAAGAGCTTCATTGTTTTTCGTCTAAATATTTAAAAGTGTGTTTGATCTGACCTAGCTTTTGATTTGCTTTATTTACTGCTTTATTTACATGGTGTTTCCATTCCAAATCATCTGAAATGTACACTCCTAAATCCTTTTCCATGCTTGTGTAAGCTAAAGCTGTATTATTCATTAAAACTTTGTGCTGGCTATTTCCTATTATCATAACTTTACATTTTTGCTGGTTGAATTTCATCAACCACTCATTCGACCATTCCATTAATAAGTCTATATCTTGTTGAAGTTCAATATCATCATTATCGTTTTTTATTGCTCTAAGGATTTTCATATCGTCAGCAAATAGTTTACAGCTTGATTTTATTTTGTTGGAGATATCATTAATATACACTACAAATAATAGTGGTCCTAGCACTGATCCTTGTGGTACTCCACTCACGACCTCTTCCCATTCTGATTTATTATTTCCTATCACCACCCTTTGTCTGTTCTTCAAAAATCCCTGGCACCAGTCAAATAGTTTTGATTTAAAACCAAGAGCATTCAATTTTAACAATAATCTTTCGTGATCAACTGAATCAAACGCTTTGGCTAAGTCCAGAAACAAAACTATTACATCCAAACCATTATCAATTGAACTTGTGATAAAATCTAGAGATTCCAATAAGTTGGTCACACAACTTTTATTATTTACAAATCCATGTTGGTTTTTATTGATTAATTTATTTTCTACTAAATGTTTCATCATTTTATCTTTAATTATTTTTTCCATGACTTTACAAACTACAGATGTTAAAGATACAGGTCTATAGTTGCATGGGTTCAACTTGTCACCATTTTTAAACAGTGGGACGATATTTGCACACAACCATAATTTTGGAAGTTTACCCGTTTCAAATGATTTATTAAACAATAACGATATTGGTTTGGCTAAAGTAGATTTGCACTCTTTTAGAAGTTTTGGATGAACTCTGTCCATTCCAGTTGCTTTATTAGTGTCCAGTTTGTTTAAGTATTCTTTAACAATAGAAGCATTAAAATCTGGATTTTTACAGATTTTTTGTGTTTCTATATCTATTATTGGAGCAGAAAAAGTTTTTGTTTTATTGAATACTGATGCAAAATACCCATTCAATGTATTTTTAATTACTTTTAAATCAGTTTCGATGCTACCGTTTTTTAGTTGGATTGCTCTTATATTGTCTTTGACTTTACTTTTATTGTTAATATATGAATAAACTTTTTTGGGGTTAAACTTTGAATTTAAAGCAAGATCATATTCAAAATCTTTAATTCTTTGATTCACTTTTTTTTTTAAACCTTGTTTAACTCTTTGTATTTTGCTAGTAAACAATTGTCTCTGAATTTCTGCCTTCGACATTCGAACCAAACGTTTACACATAAATAATACACATAAATATTTATAAAAAATACACATAAGTATTTTGGTATCTACTATATAGTAGAAGTAGTAGGGCTTTTTATTATTACTATTTTTCCTAAATTGTTTAATACATTTCGATGAAGTTGGTTAAGTTAATTATGATATATTTTAGTTTTTTTTTTTCAGAGCAATAAGGTTATCCATTTTATTAAGTTCCATATTTTGAAGTATTATTTTGTTATGTAAGTATGGGCCACGGTATATTAGAGAAAATCGCGAGAATTTCGTTTTTTTTAAAGGCAAGGTGAAGTTGCCTGTTTCTCGTGCGATATATTTGTTTGCGTTGATATGAAAAAAGCTATCAGTAAAGTATTTCGGAACAAGTCCGAGTTTGTATTTTAGCATGAGTAAGATATTTTGGTAAATATTTATTTGATAGATATTTAATGCATTCAAATATTTAAGTATCATTAAATAGCATGACAACAACTTATGAATTTTCTCATATAACTCATGAAATTAGCAGCAGGTAAGCATAAAATATTGAGGATATAATAAATTTTTGATGATCTTGTTTCGTTCTGACGTAATTACAAAATGCTGAATAAAAAAAGATTATAACAGGGATAGTAAATTTTTTTTTAAACAATGAAAAGATATTAACTATGCAAACGAGATATCAAAATAAATGACACCACTGGTCTTAATTGAATATACTTAACAAAAAAAATCGCAAAAAAATTAGTATTCTACCTGTAAAAGAGGTTATACCATCCTATGAACCTGCTCATCTTATGCAACTTTCCCCTATTTTTAAGCGCAAATGTTTAAGCGCTTTGCTTCAATATATACAAAATTGTTTGGAACGCAAAAAATAATGCACAATAATGCACTTTATAGACACAAAAATAACAAGAGTAATGCATATTTTAAATTTCAAAAAAACATTTCCAAGCAGAAATTCCATAAATATTTCGTAGTTAACCGGTCGCCGGTCAACGCCGTAAAATCCTCTTTATTTACATTTCTAATTTCGGTATGAATTGTGTCATAACTATACATATATTGTTTATCATTGGTCAATTTTTCGTGAACAAACTATTATAAAACTGCTTTTTGATTTGCAAAGAACGTTAGAATTGAGGAGTTTTTCGTCTTTTTCCATTTTCAATTTCTTTACATGGCGTGTAACGGAGAAAGTTTCTCTCTTCCCATTTTGAATCCACTTGAAGGAACACGATTTGCTGTTGAAAAAATAACAGATACATTTTTGGGACAGGTTATATATTTTATTTTTTATTACATCTTCTTCACATGTAAATGGGAATAATCAGGAAAATGAATTTGTTTATACGAAAGCGAAAGTAGCTGCTGGGAAAATGCGTTTTACAAAACCAAATGATCTTTTGATATTACAAATTATTAAATTTTAAAATAAATTGATTTCGTAATTTATTAATGCATTATTATTATAATAAAAACATATTATTATATTTATGTTGTAGTAAATGCTGTTATTTTTATTATTAATGTTGTTGTTGTTCTTCTTCTTGTTGCTGTTTTGATAAGCTAATGTTTTTAATTATTACTATTTTTCAAATTATTAAAGCTATTAAAATTTTAAATTCTTTAAATTTAACTTTTCTTACAATACTTAATAATATATTAATAATATAAAAAATTGGTAATAAAAATGTGTATATATATATATAACAAATATTGTTCCAGTAATAACAGTAATAAATTTTATTATTTATTAGAATAATAAAAGATTGCTGCCTTATTTCAAACCAATGTAGTAACACATTTTTGCAGCAGCATGCTATAAGATAGTTGATGTATGTACTGAAGCCAATAAATATTCCTTATGTTTTCCACTGACAAAAATGCAACAAGCAAAAAAACTAAACTATTTCAGGCCACTTAACTGTAGCTTTACCTGAAAGTAGCCCATTTGTAATCTAACATAGAGTTGAATTTTTAAAAAAAACTATTTTTTCTGTGTATTTTGATGTATTTTTTAGCTTGATACTTCAATTAATTTCTTCTCTTGGTTTTGTTAATTCTTAAAAATTAGTCTCTTAGGACTTTTAAGAAAGAAAATTTAGATTCTAAATTTCATTAAAGGTTGATTTATGAGCTTAACCAATAATATTAGAATAAAATAGTATTTAATTTATCAAAATGAGAATATATATTTTAAAGACAGGCAGGTCCAGATATAGTTGGGCCCAAGCAATGTACCTTTAATCTACTCTTAAAATAGTGTACAATATTAACATATACAAATTGTAATACAAGTAGAAAGGTTTATATTTTTATATTCAGATTGATATTAAAAGAAACTCTCCTTGAATTTTTTACTTCTGTTTTGTTTAACTAATGGTTAATGAAAAAAAATATGAAGTTTGCAAAATATTAACATTTGAAAGCTTTTACTTCAAAATTTTTTAAAATATTTTGTCCCGTTTTTCTAAAATCTCAAAGCCAGATCACAAATGTGACTGCTAAATTTTCATTTATGATCTAATGTGTTTTATCTGACATAATATTCAGTTCTACAAAACGTATTTTTTAGTTATTAAGTTTTTTTTATGACATAAATTTAACTGATGATAAATTTATAAAAAATATAATTTTTATGATAGGAATAAAGTAATACAAAATGTATTTAAAAATGATATAGGTATAAATATAATATATAATGAAAAAAAATATCAAAGAAAACATATGATATATAATAAAGAAATAGATGCAAAATCAAAATGTATTCCAGAATCAAGTTTTAAAAAATGTTCCAAAAAGTATATCTTGTCATATGAAACAGAATTAATATTATTTTAGGTTGTCATTTATTATTTTATTTTATTATTATTTTAACTTGTATGGTTTAAGTTGTTGATTTATTTGAAATATATGTTTGTTTTGAATATTAATTTTGAGTAGTAAGAATAAAATCATATAGTATGCATTGCTTAGGCTTTGAATTTATTTTCTTGTGTAGTAAATTATAAGACTTGAACAGTAATCAAGGTTAGGTAGAATAAATGTTTTAAAGAATTGTAAACAAACTTTAAAGGCAAGACCAAATATATAAGTTGTTGAGAATAATTTTTTATATGCTTATATTACTTTATAGTATTATAAATAATTATTAAAAAATATTAATTTTATCTAAAAAAAATATTCATAGGACAGTAAAATTTACTATAAAGTTCGATGGCAAGAGACATGGGAACCAGAGGAAAGATTGATGACTCTATGTGCTCCATTAGTTAATGATTTTTGGAAAAATTATTATGCAAAAACTCAAAAACAGCACCATGATGAACATGAAGGGCATAGGTTAAGTCAGGTACGTTACAAAATTCATTTATTGTATGTTTTTATATAATTATACTCTCTCTCTTTCTAACTTTCTCTCTCTCTCTATATATATATATATATAAGTGTAATTGTATATACATATATATATATATATATATATATATATATATATATATATATATATATATATATATATATATATATATATATATATATATATATATATATATACATATATATAAGTGTAAAATGTAAAGTGTAATTATTTTTTATGATTGTTAACGATCGATTTGCGTTAATTGTAATTAGTTGTATATAATTTAAAGTCATAGTTGTAAATACTAAGAGAATATGGTTGTATATATGACTGAATATGACTGTATTTTGTGTCATAGTTGTAAATACCAAGAGAATATGATTGTATATAAATTATGTTGAGTTGCATTAGAAAATATGAGGCATTTAACGCTAAACTTATAAAGTCGATTTTGATGTGAAACAACAAGCTATTTCGGCAAAAATGTCGACTAAAATTGATTTAAAGTTTATTCCAGAATTTAGTGGAAACGATTAACAATCAGTTGTAGAATGGCTGGAAAAAGTGGAACTAGTATGCAAACTAATTGGTGTAACCGATCTGGCGAGTGTTGTTCCCCTTAGTCTCACAAATGGTGCATTTACAGTATATCAACACAAAAAAAAATAAAAAAAAAGTTAGCAGAAAGTGATAAAGAAGATTTTGACCGTAAAAAAAAGGCGTTGCTAAAAGCTTTTGCCATTGATGCATTTACAGCTTACGAACAATTCGTTACAAGAAAGTTAAAGCATGGAGAGGCAATTGATGTTTATTTGGCGGAACTGCGGAGATAATTTACGCTGATTGGTGGGTTACCAGACAGAGCTATTGCTTGTTCCTTTGTTTTTGGGCTTTCTGAGGAAGTTCGACGGACTGAGATCAAGTTCTCGTATGGATGATCTTACTACTATACAAATACTTGCACGAGCAAGAGCACTCATGATTGAAGAGCGGAACGATGGAACGAACAAAAATTTTGCTGCTGCTGCAACAAAAAGGCGTGCTGAGTTGAGGTTGCTTGAAAATCAAACACAACCAGTTTGTTATGAATGTAAACTCCCCAATCATTTTGCAAGAGATTGTCATCTTCAAAGACATAGCAATCAAAGCAAATTGGGTTGGAGATGGAAGACAAGCGATGTTTTGTGTTACTCGTGTCAAGAGAAAGGACATATATCAAGAATGTGTCCAAAAAACGTGCAGAGGGAGAAGATATTTGCGCCAGCTCTCTCCCCAAATGATCAATAAAGGTGTTACCTACTATACGCTTGGACATTAACAGCGTTCTTTGTGATGTGTTGATTGATTCTGGATGTACCTGCTGTATCATTTATAAACAATGTGCGCCAAAAATTACGAAGAAAATAGTTAGCATGGTGACTGTAAATGGACAACAACAACAGTGCGAAGGCGTTAGCCGAACTCGAATTGTTACACCAAATGGAAATGAAGTTTTTGTTAAAGCACTTGTAGTTGACTTCAAACCACTTGGTTATTGTTTTTTGATGGGTATGGATGGAATAGTAGCTTTTGGTGGAGTATCACTATCTACAACTCATGATGTTTGTTTTATGGGAAGAAACGAATCATGTTTATTTGGAATAAGAAGTGATATGCAAAAAGATGTCAGTAATTTGAATATAACAGCTCGAGATTTCACAGCTTCGTCTGAAAAACAAAATCGAGAATGGATAATTGCGTGGAAATGGAATAATAGTGAGCAAGATTGCTGAATACACTATCCCTGTTGATATAAAACACGATTACGAAAAAGAAGTTTAAGAATGTAAAGAAGTAAAGAGAACGTGGCAAAGACTTGGCATGGACATAACTCATTATGAGGGGCAGCACTATCTTACTTTAATCGACGGTATGCAATATGGCAATATCTTAAAGATCAAACCAGTGCCTGTGTTATTCAAGAACTTAACGCAATATTTTTCGAACGAGGAGGTCCGGATGAAATACTGACGGACAATGATACTGCATTTCGAAGCACATTGTTTTCTCAGTTTGTAAATAAATGGAATGTTAAACTTCGATTCAGGTGCGCTTATGTACCTTTGAGAAATGGAATTGCAGAACAATGTCACCAAACTGTCAAAAAAACGGCGAAGAGAGATCCGTGCAGCATATTGGAGGCAGTTTATTGGTATAATGTTAGTCCAAAAGATAGTTGTAAGTCTTCTACTGCACCTGCAAATAAGTTATATTAATACGAAATAAGAGTAAGAGAAATTGATAACAACAAGAATGCACATGATCATCGTAAGAAGATAACCAATAAATTCTAACTTGGCTATAAAGTATGGGTTATGCAAGTTTTATAATAATGCTGAAAAAGTTTCAAAAACAAAAAAAAACAACAAAAATAACAAAATAAAAAGAGATTGAAATAGAAAAAAGTAAAAACAAATTAATAGTTTAAATAATTTGTGTACTGTTTTTATTTTTGTTTCTTTAGAGTTACATTCAGCAACAAAAATTAGATAAGGGGAAGCAAAAAATAAACAGTTTGAAGTCTACAATAAAAAAAATGATTTTCCTTTTCTTAATTTTTTTTAAGAAGATAGCAAAAATACAAACTGCAATGTGTTTGTAAAATTTATATTTTATTGTAACAATAATTTTAATGTAACAACAAGGATTAAATTAAGCGAATGCAAAACACAAAATCTGGAAAAATATCTAGTATTCAAAATTTTAGTTTATACAAAGCTGTGTTCCTTGTTTTTAAGGGGAGAATCAACTTAAATTTGTTAGCGAAAAAAAAAAAAATTAAAACAATAAACTTACGATTACAAAAGTAATAACACTCTAGTCACTAACTGCATTACAAAAGTAATAACACTATAATAGTGTTATTATTTTTATAACGCACTTATAATATTTAAAATTCATTCTTTGTTCAAGCAACATTAGTATTCCCAAATTTTAATTGAAGTAAAAAAATATCTCAAAGAATAAAGCAGATGTTCAAAAAATATTAAAACTAAAGTAACTTATAAAAACCTGACAAACAACTTTATGAAAAAGTATCGTATTAAAAGTTTAGCATTATGAAAAATGTTACTAATGGACCATAAAAACGCGTGTTTTTATGTAACGTTTTTCATAAGGCTATACTTTTCATAAAGTATTTTTTTATAACGCTGTTTAAGTGATATGTAAAAATTCCTGAAGTTTTTAACAATATTTGAATATCCGCTTTATTTTTTTCTAGATGCTTTTCTACTTTAAAAAATGTTTGGAATTAATAATGTTGTTTGAACAAAGAATGAACTTTAAAAGTAATAAGTGCTTTATAAATGTAATAACACTATTATAGTTTTATTACTTTTATAATACAGTTAGTGACTAAAGTGTTATTCCTTTTGTAGTCGTAAGTTTATTGTTTTTGTTTTGTTTTTTGTAACTTTCTCGTTAGCAAACTTTTAATAATTTGCTCCTTATAAACAAAGTATACAGCTTTGCATGAACTAAAATTTTAAAGACCTAATATCAGGCTTGGACAGGAATGGCGTGCAATGGCACTCTGTAACTGACCAAGCTAATATTTTTATTTCTTTACAACTTGACCACGGCTATTTTGATGTTTTAACAATTTGAATGCAATAAAAAAAGTGTTACGTTATAAATATCTTTTAATCATTGATCTTTTCTAAAGTTTTTTATTTTACGCAAAGGCTTTAAATAAAACCATAAAATTAATTATAGTTATTGTTTACATAAACGCTTGTGTAAATTAATAAAAAACGTTAATAATTGATAAATTTAAACGTTTGAAACTATTTTCTTATGTCTTCCTAAAACATTTTTAAACCATTATTTTTAGATAGAATTTTTTTAAGTTACTTTAATTTGTGAATAAGTTCAAAAGCTTTTGTGACTACTAACTTTTACACATTTTATGTGAATTACACAAGAATACAAAATAACTTTATTTACTTATATAAGCATGTATTTTGTTGATTTAATGAAAAAGTTTTGAAGCATTTTGTAATGTTCATACAATTAATTTTTATGATTAAACTTACGATTTTTTAAATGTTTGAAACAAACATTTTATTTTTTGTAAACAATTTTTTTTTTTTTTTTTTTTTTTTTAATTTCGTTAGAAATGAGTTTAAATCTTTTATAATAATTTTTAAATTCGTTACGCGAAGCGCTAGTTAATAAAGTTGTAATGCTGAAATTAAATTAAAAAGCTTGTTGGCAGTTAATTTATTTAAATCACAGGCACATTTTATTTATTTATTTTTTTTTTTCTTCTATTTTTACGAATAAAAAAGTTTTTAACCTTTTTTTTAATTAGACTCACTAATTAGAGCATGAAATTAGTAAAAATTACTATTTTAAAAAGACTACGTTATTTTTTTAAACAATTATTTTTTTTGCAACTTTTTTGACAAAATAAATGTTTATACAATTTAAAAATATTATATAAAAAGCTTTTTAATAAATTTAATAAAACTTGTTCTTTTATTAAACCAGTCATTAGTAGTAATTTTTTACTTAATTTAAAAACATTTTGCGTAACTTTAATAACGCTTAAAAAGATAAGTTTTAATAACGTTTATTTCATACGTAATTAAATACGTAACTAAAAGTTTTGCTTTGAGTTTAAGTTTTTATTTTCATTTTAGAGCTTATATTATTTCTTTTTTGTTATAAATTTGTTTTTTGTTTCTTTTTTCATTAGGAATTTTTGTTAGTTTTTTTTTTAATTTTTTTCCTAGTTTAAGTTTTGCTTAGCGTTTCTACATTCAGAACATTTCTAAAATTTTTAACTCATCAAAACATATATACATTGTTTATTAAACAATCGTGGTCAAGTTGTCAAAAAATAAAATCATTTGTGTGGTCAGCAATAGCGCTCGATCGCACGCCATTTCTGTCCAAGCCTGTAATTTTTTACCAGAGATTGCAAATCGCGATCATATAATTTACCTCTTGATATAAACTTGTTACATTATAATTATACAAATATATTTTACAAACAGATGACAATACATATTTTCTCTTTCCTCTTTGAAAGAAAAAACACATAGAATATGGGAAAGTCATCCTTTTCAATGCCCAAAATCGTTTTTTTTTTTGCTTTAACTAAATGAATTTTGTTGCCGATAATAATAACCACTAAGAAAAAACAAAAGTAAAAACAACACACTATTATTATTGTTTTCTATTTAAGTTCACTTTAATTTCTTAAGTAGTTATTAAATTTAAAACAATTTTTCAGCAAAGCATATAATAAAACTTGCGCAAACATCCGTGATCACGTTCTCTTGAAAAACATTTTCGTGGTCGTACGAGACGAAAAACCGCACACCTTTCCTGGGAAGGCTTAAAATGTGTTAACATGTACGAGACCTAAGACAAGTAAAAGTTGACAACAATTTGAATGAAGATCTTGGAAAAGGAAGAGGATTTAGGAGATGAGTTATATGTTGTGCTGCCTTGAGAAAAAATATGCAAGACGTCAGTGTTACATAGAACCACATGAGAAAGGAGGGACCATGAACGTTTTAGCCCTTGAGAGGAGATGGTCATTGTGACCAAGGGGATGTGTAAAGTGTAATTATATTTTATGATTGTTAACGATCGATTTTTGTTAATTGTAAATAGTTGCATATAATATAAAGTCATAGTTGTAAATACCAAGAGAATATGATTGTATAAAATACAGATGATCTTGGTCAAAAATGTACAAATCGTCTTGGATCACTTTACAGATGTTGTTGGACAGAGGTAGTAATCTTTGACCTACTTAATAAGTGGTACTCACCACTAAATCAATGGTGAACCCAGAGTTAATAATAGAATAAATAATGTTATAATATAGTATATAATATATTTATATAGTCAATAACTATTCCATTACAAAACATTTGCATTTTACAAGTTTCTATCACTTTAATTATGATTTTGATTTAATTATTTTTTAAACTATGTTTAATAAAATTTAGGTTGATTTAAATATTTTTTAAATTAAGTTCATTAAACTTTTACTAAGGGTTAAATGAACTGTTTTACTTATAATTTTCACAGTGCTTTAGAAACTGAAAATTATAAGTAAACACTTTTTTTGTTGTTGTTTTTTTTGTTTTTTTATCAAATTTAAAAAATATATTTATAACAAAAACATTATGTACATCAAATAAGTTGCATTTACTATGAGCTTTTTTTAAACATTTAAGACATTGCAGTTTAAATATAAAAAAAAAACTTTTAAAAAAAAAAAGCTTTAAAAAATTTATTAATTTATTTTCATCGTTATTTTTATTATAATTAAAGTTGAAAAGATTATGAAGAGAAACAAAACTCTCTGAAATAGTTTTCATTTTTTCATCTTTTCGTTTTCCTAACGTCAAATAAAATAGCTAAAAGGTCACAAGTTAATTAATTCAAAAATTAAATTTGCTACTAAATTGTTATTAGGACTGAAATTTTTACTTTTGTTTGTAAACAAATGGTTTTTAACAATGATTATCATCATAAACAGTTATCATTTAGTTGCCAACAAGCAAAAAATAACTTTACTACAAATGAACATTTTAAAATCCTTCTATTTTTCAACAAGGTGAAAAATAAAGTTTTCATTCACTCCATTATCTTTAAATTAAGTTTTGTAACAATTTATTTTCTTTTATTATCTAATGTTTGATAAGTAACCAAAGGACAGTTTTAAACATTAAGCAAGTTAAGGTATGTAATTGCTTTTTAATTTATTTTATTATCCTGAAAAAAAAAACGAACAACCTAAATAAACAGAAAAAATGTGTTATTTACTATTGCATTTCAAACTGAAACTTTATTTCTAATTTTTTTAAAACTAAAACTTTTCCTTTTCTTAAAAAAAAAAAAAACACTAAATAATAAATATTACTTGAGCACCCATATCACTCTAGTAGTGCCAAAACAGTCCTGTTTATATAATAGTGCCAAAACAGTAATGTTTTATCTCTGTTAATGTTAAATTTTATTTTAAATATGAAAACAATTGATATAAAGTATTAAAAAGATTTAAACTGAATACTTAATACTGAAAGTAGTTTTTTTAAGAAATGCTACTATAACAATCACTCATGTTACATAAAACGAAGTTTTTACTAAAAATGTGTGTTACATTCAGACTTGATCATTTGTTCAAGCGCGTTTAGTTCCTAAGAGTTTCAGTGGCGTCATTTTTTTTTGTTTGCGTAAAAAATCAATTGTGTAAACAAATATAAAAGTTAATGACATCATGTGCTAATACTTTTAGGAATAAAATGCGTTTGAATAAATTATCAAGTCTGTAGATTGCGGCATATATTATGCTGACTTTTAGGCCTACAACAAAACGGAGAAGCCGAGCTTTGACTAAAATAAAAAAGTTACTTTTTCTTATGCATTTATTCAATTGTATTAATCAAAAAAAATTTTCCCTTAACATTTTTTTTATAATTCTATTTAACATGAACAAAACATGTCTTGGAGGTTTGGGATCCTTTTAATACTTGTTTAAACATTAAAAAATGATAAAAAGAGTCATTCCATGCTAACTGGACCAAGGTCCAACATAGACCTCCTCAGATTTTGATGAAACTTAGTGGGTTTCTTTTTATTAATGAGAAAAGCAAGTCCTGAAAATTTCAGCATAAAATCTTTTGTGGTTCATGAGATATGGTCATTTGAAATTTCAGACTTTTCTAAAAATAAAAACTCTAGTAGCAAAAACATGTTTTGTTTATATTTTGGAGCTCTATATTTTATATAGAGATAGATTGTCTGTCCAACCCATGTTCTATATATTTGTCATATTTTAGCAGCACTCCTCAGATGTTCTACATATTTGTCAGTAGATTAACCTACCATTCTTTGCATATTCTACCTATTTGTCAGAGACTTTTGACAAATAGGTAGAATAAACATGAGACTTTTGAAATGACAAATGAAAATTGTTATTAAATGAAGAGAATTGCCTTTCTACTTTGTTTTATATTTATTTCCATTTAAATATTTTGTTTTATAATACCATGAAGTCAAAAGTTTTTTTACTATTTCTTACTAAATCCAAATATAAAAAAGTATTTTCGCTTTTAGGATTTAATTAGCAGAACTTGTTTTTAACATATATTAGTATGATTTGTAAATTTACATATCTTATATTTATAGCACTAATACTAGCTTTTTTTTTAAAATAAAATAAATATAAGTTAGACTTTGAAAACGTTTACTTACTGATCGTGTTATTTTAATTCGGTTATAAAAGTTTGGTTTGTTTTATAAAAGGTTTTATAAAGGCATTCTTCTACATAAAAATTAATTGCAAAAAGGAAAGCCCAAACATAAACTTTTCTGTATTGACATAACTTACCTTAGAAAAATAAAAAATTCTGTTAAAAGTTATAAAGTTTTAGGCTAGTATTTTGATATATAATTTGTTCTGGAAAATTTAATCAACACGAGACATGAAACTTTTTTTTTAATGATTATTTATGATATGAACACAATTTGTCTTGACACGTGAATCACTTTAAAGAGTTTTTCGATTTGCTATATTTAATATTAGTTTTTATATTTGTTTCCAAGACAATTTTGCTAATATCAGCTATGTTTTTAATAGTAATTGAACTAAGTATTTGGTTATTTATTTTCATTTTCAAACAAATTATTGGTTTTCTATATATAAACAAAGGGACGAACCTAGCCCATTTTGGTACCACCCAAAAAATATTTTTGTTTTTTATTTTTCTTTTGCTTTTTTAATAAAAATAGGAAAAATAGTTTTGGTTTCAAATATAGTTATAAGTTAAATTAATTCAAGTTGAATATTTACTAATATTCAAATAAAAATGAATATTAAAATAATAGTAAATATATTTATTAAATACTTATGTTTATTCAGCGCTGATGTTTATTCAGCGCTTATTGTTTATATAATACATTATATATACAAATAAAATAAACGACAAACAAGACATAAGCCTAATTGTTTAATTAATTTAGTATTTGCAACTTTAAAATTTATTATGTTAAAATAAAAAGTTTTTCTTAGGGTGAGAAAACACTGTTAAATAATGAATTTAAAACATGTCTTTTACAACAAGATACTATTTTAAATCAATTACTTATCTTTGGATAATAAAATATAAAGAATGGGAACACAATAGTAAAAAAATAAAGGTGAGTGTAATAATAAAAAAATTTGATAATAATAAGTTAAAGAAGGTGGACAGTGATTTTAAAATATCACTCAAGCAGAGTGATATTAAAAAATCATAATTGCATTGCATCCCCCTCCCTTTTCCTGTCAACCAAAAAAAAATTTCTGGGTTTGTCACTGGTGTTACCCAGGGTTTTCTCATACATGTAAAATAAAGCTTTTTTTCCTATAGAGGTTGAAAATACCCTGTCCTAGGTTTATTTAAAAAATTTTAATGCTTAGTTAGAGAGTTTAAAAATAAAAATATCAGCAAAAAATAAACATAATTTCAAATAAAAGTCAGTAAATTTTCTTTCTAAGAAATCGTGGCAACCCCGAATAAACATGCAACAAACCCTAATAAGCATGTGTTTACAAAGTTTATTCATGCAACACATGTTGTTAAGCTAATGAAGAAAAAATTTCCATATTTATGCAATTTTGACATTTTACTTTTGAAAATAAAAACTTTACTTTTTTGCAGTTTATTTTTAAAATGTACGACATGTCGCATCTTTTACCAGGTTATCCACACTTTTATTTTAGGTTTAAAAAAAAGTAATTAAAAAATTTTTTTCTATGACAATAATTTAGTAATAATTAGTTCAAACTTATTTTGTTTCGTTTAAAATTTTGCAAAATTTATGTTTGTATATATTTTATATATTTTTTTATTTTTAATATTGAAACTTGTTTCTTTGTTTATTATTGAAGTTTCTTTCTGTAAACAATGGTGAACAGCAAGTATATGATTCCCCACACACTCAACCAAACACAATTCTTCTTCAACATGATTCATCAGAATCAAGCAACATGTTACAGCAGGATTCGCAAAGCAATTCTCTTCATTTGTCACCATCATCTGAAGATTTTGCAGTGGAAAGTTTGTCTATATTTAATCAAGAGAAGCGAGCAACAAATATTTATTTGCAACCACGTTTCCTGTCCCCAAACACTATATCAAATACAAGGTTAGTGCTTGACTCCTCAGTACAAAACAGTCTTGATTCGCATGAACAGAGACCTCATAAAAGTTTAACCAAGCTCGTAAAAAATATCCGTGAAGATTTAATTTGTTTTTTCTGCCAAATTCATTTTCTTTCCAAACAAGAACTTCACAAACATGAGTTGAGTCATCATTCCTCATCATCACTTGCAACAACGTCATCTTCATTGACACTAAGTTGTTTAGAATGTGGAAAAAAATTTGATAAGAGGACTTCACTGAGTCGACATATGTTAAGTCATACATCTATGCGACCATATGTTTGTGAAGAATGTGGAAAAGGTACTAAAACTTTGTTTAAAAATTAGATTTTAAAATTAGGTTTTTAACTTAATCATTTGCAATATTTAAAAATAATTTAACTGTTTTGTTTGTTTACTAAGTATAAGGAAAAAATTATAATTCTTACAAAAAAAATTGTTTTTTTCAAACAAACAAACAAAAAGGCTTTATTATTTTACTTTTTTTTTTCATCTTTTGTTAGTACCTTGTTATATTTGATTTACAATAATATATGATATAATATTAGATTAGATTATATAGGAATAGAATTGATGCTGCAACTCATACTAGTTTAAAATGAAATTATGTAGAATTTTAGCAAACACAATAAAAAAAAGAAGTGTAACAACAGTTGAATGATATATGTTCTGAGATTTGCAAAATTTAAAGTGTTAATCTATGTGGTTCTTAAATTGATTTACCTTGTTGGTTCAATGGTTTCTTTTTTTTAGAACATTACAGTCATTTATAACTCAATAAGAGAAAAAGTTTTGCCTGATTGTGTTTAATTTTGTGTATCAACATTTTAATACTAATGGCATTTTGCATGACCATTAGTGTTAAAATGTTTAATTGCAAATGTATTTTGTCTATTTTTTTTTTTTTTAATTAATTTGAACATTTGGATTAAATCACCACGTTTTCTCCTGTTTTCTAATGAGGGAAGTTTTACTTTGAAAATTCATGAAAACTAAACTTGATTTTTTGGTTAATCTATTTTGAACTTTCTATCAATTTCTCTGTTCCAATGAGGATTCCAAATAACTGCTCCATACTTGAGATGGGGAGGAACTAATGACTTGTATAATAAGCTAATAATACTTTCATCTTTAAACTCAAATTTATGTTTAATTTTTCTCATTTCTTTATTTGCTTTAACAATTGCATAGAATATATGGTGACTCCAATCAAGATCATTCAAAATGAAAATACCAAGATATTTTTTGGCTTTTCCTTCCTCTATTATAACTTCATCAGTTTTGTATTTGCAATTAGGGTTTTTATATTTGAAATGCATTGCTTTACATTTTTACATTTTGCTTTTTATATTCCGGTCATCTGTCTATTCTTCTAAAATATTAGGACTGCTTTGTAAACTAATGTTATCTAATTCTGATTTAATGAATGCTAAATGACTCTAATAAACAGTAGCAAAATATGTTTCTGGTTAACTATGGTAAAAGACAATATTAATGCTCTAAAACTCTCTAGTTACACAAACCCTGACAAACAAGACCACTGCATGTAGAAACAAGTTAAGTGTGGTACTAAAAGTGACATGATAGAGATCAAACTCTGAACTTCTCACTTATGTACCACTACCATATGATACAATATTAAGGGAGAAAAAATATGTCCCACACTCTCAAATTTTGATGACTAAATTTTATGATTCACCTATTTTTAATATAAGTTGCATTATGTATGATGAAAATAAAATTATTTTATTTTGTTATTTTCTGAATGTATTAAATCCATAATGATAGATAACTTTTCTTTCATCTTCCGTGCTTATGAAGCTTTAAGAAAATTAACACCAAAAATTATATTTTTTTTGTATGTCTAATTTTTGTTTGATTGATTTTTGATTTTTGATTTCCCACAGGCTAAAATAAAAAGAGAAAAGTGCTGATTTGATTAGTTTTTAGTAGAACTGACATTTTTCAAATGCCTTCCGCCTACACAAGACAAACTTTTTACAAAAAAAAAAATATTATACCTGTTTCTTTCAATATTCTATTTCATATAATATCTAAAATTTGCAATGTATGACCTATTGTGCGTGCAAATTAAATACATATTATGTTGATGTGAAAAATATTCTTTAAACTCTAAGTTATAATAAGTTATCTTTAAACTCTAATATAAGTTTCTTATCCAAAAGTAACTTTGTATAATAGTTTTCCTAAATGGAGGTTCCTAGTACTATTTTTGTATAAACAAGTTTCTTATATAAAAACTGTTATAAATGAATAAGATTTTAAAAAAGTTTTTAAAACTTGTTAATCACTTTAAAAAGGGAGAATATGATCTGCAATTTTTAAGTTTTTTTTTTTTTTTTTTAATTTTTTTTTTAACATTTTGAAAAATTTAAAAATATTTTTCAAATAATTTAAGTTTTATGAAAATTATGAATTTTGTTTGTAATTTTGTGTAATAAGTAAAAGAGACAACTTGTTTTAAAATTAAAGTAATTTGATAAGATTCTTTTTGCTTTTATGATTTTCGTATACTTTTAAAAATGTATAAAACAGATAAAAGAATGTAAAATGTTTTCAAAAACATTTCAAAACAATTAGCTGTCATCCTGTTTCACTACAAATTGTTTAATGTATCAGTGAAAGCGAGTTCACAAGGTGCACTGGTACCAAGTGTACATAAAATCATTGTTGTAAAAAATACAATATTGGATACATATGTTGAGTTTGATGCCAAAACTCTATAACATTTTGTCAACAATTTTATATATTTCTGATTTCTTTTTTTAATCTTACATTTTTGTCTCCACTAAACAGTACTTTTCAAAGAATTTAAAACTGTTGTTGTAATGTTGCCTCTTTTTCTCTTTTCTATAAGCACTATAATGGGTGCTGTTCTAAAGAGCGAGTGTCTCTTGTGACACCTACTGAAATTCATTCTTGTGTTACTTGTCATTCAATTATGTCTCATTTTTTTACTGTGACTGTTCCTAATTGCTCCAAAACTCTTCTTATTCATCTCTTTTTCCTCAAACATCAGTTCTTCAGATTTTGCTACTTTCATCTTGTTTTCCTGATTCATATAATTTTAAATTTTTTTAAGTCGTCTGTTAATTGCCATCTTGCTTTATAAACCTCATCTTTTCTCTTCCAGTAACTTCTAACTCTAATAGTGGTTCCTTGCAGCCTTGTTGGAAGTGAAGTATATATATATATATATATAATATATATATATATAATACATATATTATATATATATATAATATATATATATATATATATATAATATATATATTATATATATATATAATATATATATTATTAATAAGGAAAAATGAGGTCGGCAATAATTTGCCGACCTCAATCTTTTCAAGGTCAGCATCAGGTTGGCAAAAATTATTTGATACAAAGGTCTGACCTTAAAACATAGAAACGAGGTCGGCAATTTATGTCGACCTCAATTGCTTTCAGGTCGGTAGTTAGGTCGGCAGTGCCAAATGTCGACCCTAATTTCGAGGATTGTATATATGTATATATATATATATATATATATATATATATATATATATATATATATATATAGTGTTTTCAAAATTTATAGGCGCAGTAAAATTTTATTGCCAAAACATATTTAAACTACCATATATTGGTTCCTTGCAGCAGTTCCCACTGTTGGAAGTAAAGATGTTTGTTTGTTTTTTGTTTGTTTTTTTAAATTATAACTTTCAATAAAAAGTGGCTTGCAGCTATAGCTCTAAACCGGTTTTTGTTGAAGTTAAAACAAACACTTAATAACAAGGAGACTATTTTTGTACAGGTTTATTATTTTTATAAAATTCCAAGTGTATATAGTCACCCATACTCCAAAAACCTGAAAAACTCTGAAAACAAAACGTAAAACTGCTGCACTGTAGTTGTAAATTGTAATATACAGCTATTTATAAATAAAGACATGGCGATCAAACCACTTTAAATATAGCGCATAACTAGATTTATAAGATTATTTTTGGGTAACAGTCACAATATATTTTTAGGAAATTTTAAAATTTAGTCAACTATTTTAAGTTAGACAAAGAAATAAGTCCATTTATTTTAGTTAGACTAATTTCTTATTCAAATACTTTTAGTTACTTCGACCAAACGTTTACTTTTAGTTTGACTAAAATAAGTAAACGTTTTAGTAAGACAGTCAACTTATTTTAGTTCGACTAAAAAGTTAGTCAACTAATTTATGTCAGACTAAAAAGTTAGTCGATTAAACTTAGTAACATTGAAAAGTTGTTTGACTAGTTTTAGTTAAACTAAATAGTTAGTCAACTAATTTTAGTTACGTTTTTTTTTTAATTAAATTAGTTACAATTTTTAGTTTTGGTCACAACACTAGAAACTTGTAGGATAACCTGTAATATATAACAATATTATATTGATAATAATACTATTAATATATTTATATTAATAATAATATTATGATAGTTCCTATTTTACTATTACCATTTTAAAATTTTTATAATTTTTAAAAGTATAATAAATCAGGAATAAATGTTAGAAGTATAAATAATAAATATAATACCTATCAATAAATAAAAAAAACTACATATTTATTTAAACGAACTTTTTGAATATTCAAAAAATTAAACAAGCTGAATATTCAAAAATTAAACAAACTGAATAATTCAGTTTGTTTGGTAAACTATATACAATAAAAAAGAATTAAAAGATTTATTATTATACATATATCATGTTATATACTTTACTAGAATTTATTATTTAGTAGGAATTTTGGTTTTTGTTATAATTTAAGTAAAATTTTTTACTAGTTATTCCATTTGTTTGTTATTAATTTAATTTACTATTTTTACAAAACAGGTTTTAAAGAACGATCAAACTTAAAGAAGCATCAAATTATTCACACAGGGATACGACCTCACGCTTGTAGCATATGTAATGCCCGATTTCGTCAGCTCGGCCATTTGTTAAAACATAAGTTAGTGCATAAGCCTGATAAACCATTCAAATGTGATGTTTGCTTTAAAGCTTTTAAGAGAAAAGAGCATTTAAAAGAACATACAATTGTTCACTCTGAAGAATTTCCTTTCAAATGTGATACATGTGAAAAAAAGTTTCGATTTAAAACTAATTTGAAAGTTCATTTATTGCAACATAATGGCCGAAAAGATTTTGTTTGCAATATATGCCATAAAGAGTTCACTGGTAAACCAAATCTTGTCCAACATCAATTAATTCATAATATGCTTTTTTCCTATTCCTGTGAGGTCTGTCAAAAAAAATTTAAGCGTAAAGGTCATTTGCAGCGTCACATGGAGATCCACAATGGTCAAAGCAGTATGCAATGTGTGTTTTGTGATGAGAGCTTCTTTAATAAGTCTTCCTTTAAGAAGCATTTACTATTGCATACTGGCTCAAAACCTTTTATATGTACCACATGCGAAAAAAGATTTTCTAGTAAAAGTTGTCTTTCACAGCATATGAAATCTCATACCGAGGAAACACTCTCCTTCTCATGTGATCAGTGTAATAAGTTTTTCAAAACTGAAGATAGTTTAAAAAAGCATTCAACATTAATTCATTTTACTTTTAAAGAATTTAAGTGTAGTCTGTGCCAACGTAAGTTCAAAAAGCTTCCAAACCTTGAAAAACATGAAAAACTGTGCAAAGGTCAAACAGAAATACGAAACTCAAAGATTGAAAAAGTTGTAAAGAGATCAACTGATCAGTTTGTTGTTGAACCACAGAGTAGTTCAGAGTTAACTGAGCTAGAGAGTTGTCAGCTGGCAGAAAAGATGACTGCTAATGATTGCAAAGAGCTTAATCCTTCTAAATTAGCCGAGGAAAGTTTTATTTCATCTAAGATTTCTAACCATTTAGATAATCGAAGTGGCATAGTATTTGAAGGAAACAACATTTCTTGCGTTGATATTAACGTTTTATCTCATGATGCAACAGAAGAAGTAACAAGTATACCTATCTCTAATGATGTTTCGTATAATGCCCAATTTGAAAGTTTGATACTACCACATAATTTCTTTAGACAAAATGATCATTCTAATAAGTCTTAATTGGTGTTCTATTGTGTATGTGTGTGGTGTATATTCGTGGTGTATGTGTGTGTTTTATTATTTTTATATATATCTATTTAAAGGCTATGTACCTAAAAGATTTCTTAAGTTTGAGCTTTTGCTAATTTTTTAAATTTTTGTATCAAGGCTAATAATGCTGCTTATAGATTTCTGTGATTTACTTGTGTACAAGTTATTTATTTTTTCAAAAATTAAACATTTCAATCATATTATGCTTGTTACTGCATGATATTTTCTTATATTTTTAAATCTATTGTAATTTATTTTAACTATTTAATATGTATATTTGAATTTTATTTTTTATTTATTTTTTATTCTTAAAGATTTATGAAATAAAATGTTATTAAAAAAATATATAAATAAAAGTTTTTTTTAATGCTTATTAATTGATATTTGACATTTTATATGAATGTAAACTTAAAGTCATAATTTAAACGGTCCCTCGTATGTTGAATTGTTCCCTTACTTTGTATGTTGAATTATTCCCTTACCTCATACGCTGAATTATTCCCTTCCCTCATATGCTGAATTGTTCCCTTATCTCATAAAAAATTGGCTCAGGTAATAGTGTTCTAGTTACATGTCAAGTGGCTAATTTCAATTTAGTGTATTGCTAAGATAGTAAAAATTAACCTTTAAAGTTAATGCATAAAAACTTATTTTTGATATGTCTATAAGACAGGTATTGATTTTAAAATTTAAAAATGAAAAGCATAAGGATATCATAAATCATGATAAATAAGGGAAATGTTAAAGGGAAAATAAATAAGAAAGGGTGACGTTGGTAGTCAGGTGGTAACAAGGGTGTTAGTTCTATAATGGAGTGGAATAGTAACCATTGGTCATGGTAAAACTTGGTGACTTAAATCATTTATGATGACAGATAACACTTAGGAGTGTAACAAGTGGTAGTAGTTAGGGAAAGGGATAGGTGGGTCAGAGACAACAGGTGGTCACAGTTTGGGTAATCAAATTGGTAACAATAAATGTGTAACATTTGGTAACAGTTAAAGGTAGTAAGTGAGTTCTTGACAAAAAGCAAAAATATAAAATAAGTTTTATACTTTTGTTTTTCTCACAGCAGCTTGTAAGTGATTAATAAAAATTTATTGATGATAATGATGATTTTTCCCATCCTTTTCCTTTTTTGAAAGCTTTTGATTTAAGTTTTTTTTTTCTGTATGGTGAATTGGGTGTTAATTGTGGGAGGTGTTTGTTGAAAATATTGAAGGAAAGAAATAGAAAATTATTGAATCATTGAAATTTTTTTGTATTTTGTTAAAAGTACAACAAGAATTTTTAATAATCAAAAAGAACTTTTAAGAATATTTTATCATAAAAAAATTAAAAAAAGAAAAATAAGTTGTTAATTGATATATGATGATGCATTGGTTTTATTGTGTTAACATGTTATTGTTTTTAAAAGTTTTTTTTAACAAACTTTTATGTTTTTTTTATTTGTTGCTAAAATTTACTTTAATTTGTGTAGCAAACTTTAAAATATCTAATTCAAACTTAAAAAAAAAATTTATTAAAAAATTTAATATCTTTTATACTTTAAATATTTATTATTTTAAATTTTTATGTATATATCAATAAGTATATATGAACAATATTTTTTAGATTATACAGAATTGAAAATTAAAACTATAAACAAAACTGTAAATCTCTGCAATTTTTTTTTTTACTTTTTTCTAAATAAAGAATTTGTTTGTAGCCTTGATTTTAATTTTAGATTTAAAAACATGGTTGCATTTTCACAGGTTAATTTGATTGGTGAGTTGAACGTTTTGTTAAATGTTTCACAACTAAGCATAAAATGATTCCTCAAAAACTATAACAATTATATAAAGCATAAAATATAAAAGTGATATTATCTCAACATATGATTATTACTTTAAAATTGTGTTAATGTAAAAAATTCTCGATTAGTGTGAACAAATTATTATAACAAGCCAACATTTCTTTCACCACCTACTATACAGAAATGTTACTACATTATACCATCTACTCATATATCTACTCAAACCCTTCCCCTATATAATATGGTATGCCTATGTATTTATTTTTATAATTTTAAAATCAATACATGGTTTAATAACACATTTTATTGTAGAAAAAAAATTTTTAATGTGGACTTAGCTTTAAATATTTATAACTTGCAAAACTTTGTACCCAAAATAGTGCCAGACTTTGTACCTAAAATAGCACCAAAAACAATTTAAAAAATTTAAATGAATACTTGTGTAATGGTCAGATTAAGGGAAGCTAGTCAACATATTTAAATCAGTTGCCTAAATTATAAACTCAAATTTTTACTTTATTTTTGAAGTAACATATAATAACAAATCAAAACAAAAAAAAGTTTCCTAGGTCTTAGTCCATTGTTTAGTTCTTTCCAAAGTTCCAAAGTTTAAAAAGCATCTGACTAATAATTTTTCATTTATATTTACTTATTTTATTTTTGTTTATATTTACTTTAATCTGTTTTATTTATAATTTTTGGTTATATTTATAATTTTTGTTTATATTTACTTTAATTTGTTTTTTTACTTTTGTTTAAATTTACTTTAATTAGTTTTCATAATTGAATTGATTATTTGCTTATATATTTATTGTATTTAATTACCTTGTTTATAATATAAGTACTTTTATTTAGTTTTCATAATTGAATTGATTATTTGCTTATATATTTATTGTATTTATTTACCTTGTTTATAATATAAGTACTTTTATTTAGTTTTCATAATTGAATTGATTACTTGCTTATATATTTATTGTATTTATTTACCTTGTTTATAATATAAGTACTTTTATTTAGTTTTCATAATTGAATTGATTATTTGCTTATATATTTATTGTATTTATTTACCTTGTTTATAATATAAGTACTTTTATTTAGGTTTCATAATTGAATTGATTACTTGCTTATATATTTATTGTATTTATTTACCTTGTTTATAATATAAGTACTTTTTAGTTTTCATAATTGAATTGATTACTTGCTTATATATTTATTGTATTTATTTACCTTGTTTATAATATAAGTACTTTTATTTAGTTTTCATAATTGAATTGATTACTTGCTTATATATTTATTGTATTTATTTACCTTGTTTATAATATAAGTACTTTTATTTAGTTTTCATAATTGAATTGATTATTTGCTTATATATTTATTGTATTTATTTACCTTGTTTATAATATAACTACTTTTATTTAGTTTTCATAATTGAATTGATTACTTGCTTATATATTTATTGTATTTATTTACCTTGTTTATAATATAAGTACTTTTATTTAGTTTTCATAATTGAATTGATTACTTGCTTATATATTTATTGTATTTATTTACCTTGTTTATAATATAAGTACTTTTATTTAGGTTTCATAATTGAATTGATTACTTGCTTATATATTTATTGTATTTATTTACCTTGTTTATAATATAAGTACTTTTATTTAGTTTTCATAATTGAATTGATTACTTGCTTATATATTTATTGTATTTATTTACCTTGTTTATAATATAAGTACTTTTATTTAGTTTTCATAATTGAATTGATTATTTGCTTATATATTTATTGTATTTATTTACCTTGTTTATAATATAAGTACTTTTATTTAGTTTTCATAATTGAATTGATTACTTGCTTATATATTTATTGTATTTATTTACCTTGTTTATAATATAAGTACTTTTATTTAGTTTTCATAATTGAATTGATTATTTGCTTATATATTTATTGTATTTATTTACCTTGTTTATAATATAAGTACTTTTATTTAGTTTTCATAATTGAATTGATTATTTGCTTATATATTTATTGTATTAATTTACCTTGTTTATAATATAAGTACTTTTATTTAGTTTTCATAATTGAATTGATTACTTGCTTATATATTTATTGTATTTATTTACCTTGTTTATAATATAAGTACTTTTATTTAGTTTTCATAATTGAATTGATTATTTGCTTATATATTTATTGTATTTATTTACCTTGTTTATAATATAAGTACTTTTATTTAGTTTTCATAATTGAATTGATTATTTGCTTATATATTTATTGTATTTATTTACCTTGTTTATAATATAAGTACTTTTATTTAGTTTTCATAATTGAATTGATTATTTGCTTATATATTTATTGTATTAATTTACCTTGTTTATAATATAAGTACTTTTATTTAGTTTTCATAATTGAATTGATTATTTGCTTATATATTTATTGTATTTATTTACCTTGTTTATAATATAAGTACTTTTATTTAGTTTTCATAATTGAATTGATTATTTGCTTATATATTTATTGTATTTATTTACCTTGTTTATAATATAAGTACTTTTATTTAGTTTTCATAATTGAATTGATTATTTGCTTATATATTTATTGTATTTATTTACCTTGTTTATAATATAAGTACTTTTATTTAGTTTTCATAATTGAATTGATTACTTGCTTATATATTTATTGTATTTATTTACCTTGTTTATAATATAAGTACTTTTATTTAGTTTTCATAATTGAATTGATTATTTGCTTATATATTTATTGTATTTATTTACCTTGTTTATAATATAAGTACTTTTTTTATCAGATCAATAAAAATTTTGTTAAAAAGTGTTGTTGAATGTAAAAAGTGTTGTTGTAACTAGTGAATT